TAAAGCAATCTCTGCTGTGAACCCCAACAAGAGCTCTGATTTCCCAGCTGAGCTAAAGCCATGCTCTTTGTCGTATGTCACTAAATTGAATTTAATTAGTTTGGTTCAGTACTTGTTTCATGTAGTGGAATGTCAAACTTTTTCAAATGTTTAGGCTTCAGCTAGAAGAAGTAGAGAGTTAACACCTGAGCCATTGGTCAGATCTGGTAATTAAACTGAAACATCATCACACATGGGACATAGGACACATGCTGGTCAAAATTACCAAGGCTAGCTCTTTTTCAGTAACAATCTCCATGAAGAAGGAAAGTCATTTTAATGCAAAATGATAGTTTTAGTCAGTGCATGAGAAAACCAGTGATTTTTTTTTTTTAAACGAAGCAGCAGCTGTCTGACACTGACAGCATCAACACACAGAGTTAACTAAGCAGAGAGGTAAATTTAGCTGCAGCACAAACAGAGCAGAAAATCCCGTCATTACAGCGGCGCTGGCAACCGTTCATCACGTTTCACCGCTAGGTTTACATCTCCGCTCACCTGACTCCCACCGCTCTCATGCAGCTCCCGGGACATTCCTCCCATAGCAGCTAGGCATTCCAGTCTTTGCTCAGCCTCGTTCAACCTGAGGTTTCCCCTGGGTCACAGTTTTAACGTCTACACAAAAGCCCTCGTTTGTCTTCCCAACCTATCTGCTCATGCATCTTTAAAAGTGTTCTGCTTTAGTCATCTGCTGATTGAATATCAGCGTAATATTCTATTCATAGCTGCTGCTTCAAGCCCATCTAAGGTTCTGCACCAGCTGCGTTTTAGATACCAGAGTTAGGACAGCACATCTATTTGTTTTATTTCATGAAGGGAAACTTTTCAGGAGGTCGTTAAGCTGTAAACACAAATTCCACTGTTTTGTGAAGCTTGTGAAGTGAGTGGGTAGCTGACATTTATTCAACCTCCTCAAATTAACTAGCTCAGTCCATATTCTCAGCTGCCACCACCTTGTTTCACAAAGGAGACTTTGTCATACTTGTCTGCTTTTAAATGCAGACACAGGTAACACAGTCCCATAAGGATCTCACTGGAACAGATCACCTTTCCCCCCCATGTTTGCAGTGTCGCCTACATGGCAAAGTGCTAATGAGATTTATTTATCAATGGCTTTATGATCACATCTCTTCCATAAAACACCTGAGCTAAACATAAATATCAATAGTCACTTGATAACTTCTTTAGTTAATATTCTCCTTATCCACCCAGTCAGTTAAGATGTACTGAAAAGAGCTTTGTGACAAGTTCAATGCTTGGGATATTTTCACATCCCTGACCTGTCTCCTGTGTTTGTCTTTTTAATGTTCTCTAACAAAGCTCTGAGGCATCCTGTTTAAACAACAGCTGGATTTATATTGAGATAAATGACACACAATTTGACTCTATTTATGAAGCTTGTGAAGATTGGTTGCTGTGGATTTTACATAGGGGTATTCAAATAAATGGGACTGAATACATACTGATGCCATACTGTTCAAATTTAAATTTACAAAAACTTTTTTTTTTTTTCATTTAATTCACAATTATGTTCCACTTTGCTTTGATCTGTTACATATAATCCCATCCCAGCCATAAGACATTAGTTTGCGGTTGGAACATAAAGAATGAAAAAGTTAAACTGGTGTAAATACTTTTGCCAAGTACTTTATGTGTGCTTGAAATCTGAAAGTATATAAATCAGCTACAGCAAGGTAGATTGTCACTTGACTTTAGTAGAAACACAGGCATAAAATATTTAAATTTCAAACTCTGAATCAAAGTCATTTCAGAAATCAGAAAGTTTTCTGAAGTCAACAATGCCCACATAACAAAATTCAGACCTGGACTTGACTAATAACCACAACTCATTTCTGCACTTATCTTTAAACACAGCCAGCTGATATAGATGAGGTAACATATTCACAATGGAGAGCTGTCAAGGGGCACTAAATGGGCCTCAGTGTTACTCTACATACAGATAACATAGGGTGTGTGGATTAGCCAGTGATTTGTAAAAGGGAAAAAAGTGAGATGTGACAAAAGGGAGCCATGAAAGGAGTAAAGACTTTTCTCTCATCAAATAAAAAAAATGGCATGGTATAAGGTATGATATAAGAAGAGAACACTTTGTGGGGGGTGACATGAATGGATGAGAAAGATTCACTTACAGTGTGTCCTTTACAGATGAAGATGAAGTTTCAGTTTGTTCTCCTCCAGCGGGAGTGATATCCGTTTGCTAAACCTGGCATTGCCAAAGCCAAAGAAATACACCCCACACAGAGATAGGTAGGAAGAGGGTGTGTGTGTGTGTGCATGTGTGTGTGTGTGAGAGAGAGAGAGAGAGCGGATTGACGAGAAGGCGGTTTGGGATCCTGCTTTATTGCATGTGTGTGTGTGCACTGTCAGGAGCGGAAAGAGACTGAGAAGGAAAGAGAGAGGAAGAAAAAAAAGATGCAGAGAGCTCGAACGAGCTGAGTGGCTGGTGTGAAAAAGGGAGGGAGCTCGACGGTCCAATAGTGAGCAAGATGATCTGAGCAAACAGGAGATAGCAACAAAGAGACAGATTTTTTTTTATTTTTTTTTTCTAAATCCTGATCACACGCCACATTTTGTCTGTTTTCTCTATATTTTAGATTAGGATGGTAGAGAAAATGAGAAACGCCCAAAGCATCAAACAGAAAGTGGGTGTTGATCCATTTGCTACCCTCAGCCGAAGGCTTCGGCCCAAGATGTATTTCTCTCATGCACAGATTGGAGGTGCAAGAAGACTGATGGGAGGAACACAGGAGATAAATCATCAAACCCTGCTTGGGACTCGAATAACAGATTGCTAGAAGGATTGACAAATAGAGCGCAGCTTTGAAGGCTGAACTGAAGTGCCGACAGAAAATAACAGAAAACCATCATATAAGGGGGAGTTGCTCCCTTTGTATGTTTGCTTAGTTTTAAAACCTTGTATAAAAAATTGTCAGCAAAGCAACATTAATGAGCTGTACAGGAAGTCTCTGTGCGTGGACAGCTTAGACATGTGCAGCATCCTGCCTCCTCAGAGTGTGTGTGTGAGACATTCGTGTGCATAAGCATGGGGGCGGGGGAGCGGACCATCTTTCTCGGGATTTTGCTGCGGGAGCACAATGTTGCCATGGAGACTGCATCCATTGCAGCAGAAAAACGCAGATGGACAGCCTCCCTTTCTTCCCTGATGTGGTCCAGGTTTCCTCTCATCCCTGACCTGCAATTCAGAAAAACTTGTCCTTTTGACTTTGTGGATAGGCGGAGGAAAAAAATGCTCTGGGTGAGGACCAGCCTATGACTCAGACCGCTGACAAACCGCTTATGGCAGAGGTGAAAAGGCCTTTTTGTTGAATTATTACAGAATGTTTAATCACAGAGCATCATCTTCCACAACAGGAGATTTAAATATTGCTCTAAATATGTCAGGATATATAAATTAAAGGTAAATCAATTGCCATACTTCCTGAATATAATCACAGCTCATTGAGTAAATGGTCTGCATCCGAATGCGTGCTAATACGGACATCATGTTGACACTAGGGCACACGATCAATATCTCGTTTCTAATTCAAAACATTAATTTCAGTTGACTTTAAAAGTGAATAAAGACAACAGGTAAGAACAAATATGGAGGGAAATAACGTACAAACACAACTTTTTCTGAAATATGACCTGTTCTGATATTCCTCAAGCTCAACTTGTTTAAATATTTCATTTGCTAAGTGATTTAAATTGTTTCCTACATGCATGTTAAGCTTAAACTCTGATACAGCAGCCCGGCGATCATAAAGATGATAGCCCTTGAACTTTCTCACATTTTATCAGGTAAGAGCCACAAACATCAAGGTATTTTACTGAAATTTTATGTGATAAATCAGCACAACGAAACACATATTTGTAAAGTGGAATAAAAAATGGTGTTCACTCCAAAAAAATACATTCTGAGAACAATAGCTAGGTAATTATCAAAACCAAAACAAGCAAAAATTTTAAAGACCATATTATGTTACTGTTTATATTTTGATGTCTCTTTACTGATTCTTCTTCCTCTTATGATGGCTAAACCCATGTATCCAGTAGATGGGTTAAAATGTGTGCAAATGTATTTGCTGAAAATAATATAGTTTTCTTTATTATTAATTATGTAAATTGTTTTATTTATTCTATTATTGTTGTCATTATCATTAGCACGTTGTCTGTACATCTAATTAACAAAACAATATTTTAATCAGTAGAATTTCTTGCAGGGTTGCCAATGTACATTTACTATGCCACATCTAAATATTTCCGTTTCCGACACGGATTCACTGTCGAATTATAACGTAAAACAAAATCCACAAATCTGTCCTTTATGAAAGTTTGACAAGTCCTTCTTACAGTTCACCACAGGCCAAGTAGAGAATACCGTAAAAATGTGTATGAAAGTGCTTTGGTTAAAATGAAACCAAAATATAACTTTTTGGCCAACCAGCGTAACATTTTCTGTGGTAGAAAACAAACACTGACCACACCACCACCATGGTGAAATATATATGTGACAGCCTCACTCTGTGGAGATACTTTTCTTTCTTTGGTGAACCAGTTTAGAGTTTATGGAAATATAGTTTGAGCAAAATAGAGAGCAAAGCTGTCAGAGGCAGAGAAAACTTGAAAGTTCACTGGGTGTAACTTTTGAATCTTCTCTGAAGCTCCATATGAAAATGTTGCGGTTCAGAAGTGAACACTTCAATGTCTGCTGCATCTTAAGTTGATTTTGTTTCATGCCACGGAAAATTACACGTCATCCGTATAGATGGAGTTAGAACTGCAACACTGAAGATCTTAACCCATCTTATTTCAAAGTGATTTGGTTACAATTTTACATATGTTGTGACAAAATATTCTACTTGAATAGAGAAATAGGTGTACTTGCTACAACCAACCAGCAGACAGTGTAATCTGTTAACACCTTAATTTGCTTTTACCTGTCCATTTTGCTGATCACTGGGTAGCTGATGAAGGAGAGCAGATTACCCATGCAATCTTCTTTTCCTGAGAGGAATAACAATACAAACTGTATCAATAAAGAACATCAGATGTAGTTAAAAATGTTGTTTCAAATTGCACAAGTTACTGCCTTTCAAAATTGTAAAGTTAGGTTCTGAAAAAAATCAAGAGATTGATGCAGATTAACGTAAATAAAAAAAATCGCCATCTAGTGGTTGAATGCAGAAAGAATCCATAAAAAGCCTTTTGTGTTTTGAGGAGGAATATGTGTTTAAAATGTCATTTTACGAATAAAAACATCGTGATCGGACTTTATCTTTGATTACTTACAAGCAGCGAGATGCGCACTGGTGCATGAAACACAAGAGCGAAAATTGGGCTCGAATTAAAGATAACAGTGAGCAAAATATAAAGAGATTAAACAGAAATTGCATCATAACATAGGATATAAAAGCATAGATATGCTGTGTTTCGTATTTATAGTTAATGGTGAACCACCAGGGCGCAAGACCTCGTGGCGCAACGGTAGCGCGTCTGACTCCAGATCAGAAGGTTGCGTGTTCAAATCACGTCGGGGTCAAATTTATATTCTTTCAGTATCCACGATCACAAATTTTTTCTTAGTGCTTTGGAAAGCTGACAAACTTTTCATCGACTAAATTAAGAAAACGAAACATATGACTCTTTGCACTTAAAGACACGTATTACGAACATTTACAATAAATGACTTTGAAATTTGTGAAGAAAAAAAGTGTCAAACAGATGAACTGGTTTAGAAATAAACTTGACCTAGTTTTTAAATACCTTTGTTTTTCATTATTGTTGTAACAGTTCCTATATTTATTGCAAGCAAAATTAAATGGATGACAATACAATGCAATTGGAAAAAAAATAAATACTGACATTGTTTAATGTAGGCCTATAATAATAGTGTTACGTCTTTTTAGGTCTAAAATATAATTGTAATTTACAAATGTCTAACTTTTGCTGATTTCTATAAAACAAGAGAAACAAAATTCCTTGATATCTTTCTCGAGGTGTAAGGTCTATAAAACAAAAGTTAGGGCATATTAAGTAGATTTCTTACGCATTTTTGTCTATAAATCTAACCGCACCCTCGTAAATAGTTACATGCCCAAAGTGTTAATGGTGGATTAGGTTACGCAGCGGATACCACAGACATGACGTAGTGGTTTGGGGATGTTACCAAGACCGTGACATTCAGCTGTAGGAGCACTTAAAAAATAAACAGTATTACTAAGTACATGTTAGTGGCTATTTATGAAAACCAAGCTGCCTTGTAATCTTCAACCATATTACCTTATAATCTCGAAGCCAATCCTTGGTAAAAACGAGCAGGAAAGTTATATTTTCAGGCTGTACCACTCCTTTGTCTCCTTCTCTCTTCAGTCGTAGTTTTCTTGTCCGTCTCCGTTTTGCCCCCCTTTCGTCTCACATGCTCAGCTTAAAAGCTTCAGTCCAGCATGACTGCCTTTCTAACTCAGTCCAAGTTTCTCTCTCCCCTCCGTTCATGCCAGTCTCATCTTTCACCAAGAACACTAGACTCTGAATGCACAATTCATTAGCAGAGCCCTGCAAAGAGTGAAACTTGGCTGAGACATAAGGTTACCCCCTGTCCTAAGGAGCAGACTCACATGAGAAGGTCCTTAGCTGCACTTGTTTTCCACCACAATGGCCTGATTGTATTTGAGGGTCTCATTTTACATACAACAGGCCAGTTTCTCCTTCTGCTATCTCTGCTTTTGTAAACGGGTATGCTTTGAGCTTTGGTTTTCTAAAGAGCTTGTTTTTAAGAGAACCCTCCATGGTGAATCCATGCCATATTTTTATTGCTGCAAAACCTCCCTCTTTTTAATCAAATAATTAGTCAAAAATGCCAAGCAACTGTAAATGTCCTTCCTGGGAACTCAGCGGTGGGTGGAATAAATGTGCATTGTATGGGCAGAAAGCCCATCCTTGCACAAGTTAAAATTCATGATTGTATAAAATGGTTGCCTAGGTAACACAAATGAATGCCTTTCATGTTCCAGTTTTGGTAGCTTTACAAAATCTTGTTTCAGAGACACTAAAATTTAATGGGTCCTACAAAGCATGCAGCCTTACACACATTATGAAGGCTGGATGGATGGCTTTGCTTTAAATGTGATTTAAGTTTTGATTTTGTTTACTACAAGTGCATTTAAAACAGGCTGGTTAGACACTCACCTACCATCTGTTAATTGTTGTAATCAAACTAAACTGTATGTTCTGTTAAATTGCTAACATTCAGCTTTACTGCAACCAATATAAAGTGTGAGAAAAGGATGAATATGTATAAAGCAATCTCTTCTTCCCATAACCTTTCATAGCGGAAGATCTGTGATGCTCTGCATTCAGAAAAATCTGACATTGGTAGCATAAACTCTGAAGTACCAGTACATTTTAAAATAAAAACCTTAGCCTCAGCCAGAAAATTTTAAATTAATCCAAAACGCCTCTGTGTGAGTTTACATACTTATGATCAAAAAAAAGGGGAAAAAAAAATCAACTTCCATGTCCATCTCAGTCCTCAGATCTAAATCCTATAGAAAAGGCCTCTCATGGGTCCTCTCATGTAATCAAAAGATTACATGAGAGGACCCAAGTTAATCTAGTGAGACTGCGTGAGAGGAATAAATAAAAACATAGCACATAGTGGGTTGGATTTAAAAAAAAGGTGATATGTATACTACCGAACTAACAAATTGCAAGGGTAATAACGCAAAGGGGGAGAGTGGTGAATTGCAATTCCAGAGATATATTAACCTGAAAAGTGCACATTAATTACTTATACATGGTGAATAGGGTAATATCCTTTTATTAATGTACAATAAAAAAACACTTGCATGGATTTCAGAATTTGTTTCGTCTCCCTTCTCCCCCAAAAGAAAAAGCAAAAAAAAAAAAAAAAAAAAAAAAAAAAAAAAAAAGGACACCCTCGGAGTGCAAAGCAAGTCCCCATTTGCCTTATGCCCTCTAAAGGGTAAAAGCATGACATATAAAAAGACAAATATTCAACATAACTTTAGCCTTATAAAACACAGAAAAACTGACAAAACCTAGTTTCCGTCTTTAAAACTTTAGACTAAGAAGTGACTTATTTCATGTTTTCTCTTCCAAATTGCAGAGTTTACTTCTGCTTCCAATAAGTTTGAACAAAGACTTTAATCCAGATGACCCCTCAGCATAATTTTCCACCTTTCTGTCACTTCTTTCCTTTATATCTCCCATTTTTGATTCAGAGGAGAAGGATCTTTGAGACATGCTCCTCTGGAACAAGTATCTCAGTCGGAAGCCCATTCTAGGAGAACGCAGGGTTTCATCCACAGAGGCCGACCTTAGCAGTGGTGCCTGTGACAACGCTCTCTGACGGATGCACTCAGGAAGGGAGGCAGATCCTCCAGATGGAGAAGTCAGACTTTCCTGACTACTATGAGTTTTCAAGTTGGTTTCGTCATTCTCCCAGACTCCATCGTCAGGATCATTTCCAGAAGACGATGATGATCCTCTCCGGGCTTTGCCTCGCAGGGCTGTGCTTCTTGGAGAGCAACTTATGGGGCTCAGAATGGTCCATGGAGATCCCACACTACCATTACTGGTAAAGAAGTAGTCCCTAGTTCTAGGTGAAGGGGTACGTGGAGTACTAGCCTCGTCCTGTTCTCCTTTCGAATGCCGAGGACTCCCCGGTACCTTATCATTACGGCTGCCTTTGACATTTTGGTAGGAAAGCACCTTTCGGGATATCTCACGCATCTTTTCGGCTTCTTCCTCCTCCAATTTTGCCAATTCCATGTCTTTAAGTAGCTTAGTTTGTTTCTTCTCTGGGCTGTGTGTAGTTTTGCAAGGAATTGGCATTTCTTTTTGTGAAGTTTGAGAACAGGATTCAGAACGCAAGCCTTTAGCCTGGGGTTGGTAATTCTTCCTACATCTGCTTAAACCGGACAGGGGTTTGGATAGAAGGTTGTGCAGCGCTGACTCTAAGCACGAGTCATCTGTAGGGTCAAGTGCTGAACATGATGCCACAGAGCGTCGTTTAGCAGCTACTTGCATGCTCTCCGAGCGCTTGTGTCTATGTTCAACAGCTTCTCGCTCTCTGTTCTCCTGCAGGTCATGTAAAGAGAAAATATTTCATAATGAACCAAACATCCAGAAAGCAAAACTGAAATAAAAATCCTTCAAAGTTATGAAAGGTTCAAGCCACTGAAGGATTGCATTTTGATCTTGTAATAAAAATGCTGGATATTGATCAATCTTTGGTCGTCTTACCTGTACAGCTTTGTCAAACCTTTTACAGAATGAGTAAAAGATGGAACAACACTCTTCAAGTCTGAAGGTAGTTGGGTCTTCACAGAAGTACCCTGCAACAGCATCACTTAAAACCTTCAGCTCATTTAGGGACAGGTCAACGTCTGCAAGCATAGAATCTGCCCTCTGTCAAAAAGTTATAAAATACATGTTGTATAGATCTTAGTTCTTTTTAAAGGTGAAAATTTGCAAACGAAGACAATTTTTTTTACCTTCAGAAATTGATCTATTTGTTGTAAGAGGCCAGGGTGTATGCTGCTAAACAGTTTAACTTCTTCCATCTTCTGGATTTCCTCCTTCAAGTCCTTGATGATGTCATCTTTACAAATTCTTTGGTAAAATTCAGATACAAACTTGTTCACAATCAGATTAAGTGACAGACAGAAAAAAAGCAGGATAAAAACCACATCTAAAGGGTAACCTTGATGCCATCCCAATGTGACCAAGTTGGCTGGGAAAAGTCAGCAATTCTGCATCAATCTCCTCTGCTTGCTGTGGATAGCAAAGAAAAGAGCTTTGTAAGCAAATGGACAGGACTGGAGTTTGTGCATCAATGTTTTCATCTCAAAATATGGCAGAAACCCTTTTTCATTCATGAATGAATATTAAGGCATACAGAACGTGATCAAACAAAATAAAATGAACATTCACATGCATTAGCCTAGGAGGACACTGTTAATGGTACAATGAAAAGAGATCAGGTAGTTAAAGCTATAGAGTAGATGTTGATAAGATATATTCACTGGCTCACCATTTTAGCATTTCAAGAGAATTTATTTTCTAAGACAAAAGGCAGCAGTTCTTTGAGCAGTGCTAACTGTACCCATTCAGCTGGTAACCACTGATTTTCCCAACAGGGGCGTTTCAAAGAGAGCTGACGGACAAATTGAGACGGTGTTTGTTAACCCCAACCAGAGTCACTATGAATTATCAACATAATCCCGGTATATCAAATCCCCATACAGTGTGGTACCAAAGGACAACATTTAGGCACAATCTGCAGTGACATATTTTTCATAGCCATTACACTGTGACTATGTAAAACAGGAAGTCT